TACCCAAGAGCCTAGCTCAGTGGGTACACTCATGAACTGTTGAAATACAGACCAGGTGCTGTGTTCGAATCCAGATGATGGAACTTGACAAGTAAAACCAACTACTAGTGAATTGCTTGGGGCCGGTCAGCTCAATGATTTTTATTTTTTTTTATTTTTTTTTTGGGGGGGGAAAGCAAGGAGTCCGTTATCATGAAGAAACATGAGGCCGGGAATTCCTCACAAACAACCCGGAAGTGACCTGAGTCTGTCTGGGATCATTACCCAGAATGGTAGTGGGTCTTACCCCAACAACACTTGGCAGAGCCAACGAACAGCTCAATGATAATATCTCAAGGCCGTCGCCCTTTTAAAAAAAAAAACAAAAAAAAAGAAAGGTGCTTTTTATGTTTCCTTTTTCTTCCTTTCTGATGCTTTTTTATTCTCTTGACTCTCCCATTGGCAATTCTTGTCTGAATATTCGCAGTCTGCATTATATTTGTCCGCCGCCAGCTTGAAAAGGTGTGTGAGAGGGAGAGAGAAGGTAGGAGAGGAAAGCAGAGCACAGAAGAAAGGACAGACCAAGGACTGAGAGGAAGAGGAGAAGAAGTGGGAGATTTACTTCATCAGTAAGCAAACGTGCCGATCCATCTCTCAGGCTGTCATTCGTTTACACCTCTTCTTGCTACGCAGAATCTGGAAGATACTCGATGTAACTGAGACAAGCTGCCAAAGAGGACATAACACTTCCGGCAAGTATATATACAGCTTTTCCGATGACTCTAAGCTGGGCCCTAAATCCCAGAATAAAATGTCAAAAATTCCGTTGCTCGTATGATAGCATAGTACTAAAGGAGCTAAGCAACACGAACTGACGATTAACCGTGAAAGGTCGAACTGAAGTTCCGTTGCTCGTATGATAGCATAGTGCTGAAGGAGCTAAGCAACACGAACTCACGATGACTTCATTTGTGATTTTACTTTTTCTTTGGTAAAATCACAAAAGAAGTAACAAAAAAGAAAACAAACCAACAAATAAAAGTGATGAAAGGTCGAACTGAAGTTCACAAGTTTTCGGGAAAAAAAGTATACCAAACAGGAGCAGAGAGACCCACAGAGAGACAGACAGACAGACAGACAGACAGACAGACAGACAGACACAGACAAAGAGACAGACAGACAGACAGAAACACAGACAGAGAGACAGACAGACAGACCGACAGAGACAGAAACACAGACACAGACACAGAGAGAGAGAGACAGACAGACAGACAGACAGGCAGACAGACAGACAGACAGACAGACAGAAACACAGACACATACACAGAGAGAGAGAGAGAGAGAGAGAGAGAGAGAGAGAGAGAGAGAGAGAGAGAGAGAGAGGCGAACAGACAGACATACGTACGGCCAGACAAGCAGCGAGGCAGGCAGGTAGATAGACTGGATTGAATTCAAGAACATAGATGATGACAAAAGAGTCAAATGCGATAACGATGGAGGACTTTATAAACGAGAGACAGAATTTGTTCGACACAATCTAAGGTAGCGCATAGCGGATGGAGCGCAGCAAAAGTCATGCTCAGCAGGTCTGCAGACGATCGGGTCAATGGCTGGCGGACTGGTCACGACTGGCGCTCGCTAATGAGCTTCGAGCTGGCAGCACAAGATATAGAAATATGGAGAATTGCAATCCCCGGGGACCGTGGGGAGGGATAAAGAGGTAAAGCAGTTCAAAAAGTTTCGTACGGCTTTTTTCACGCGTCGAAAGTTGAGAACTTTCGACTCTTGTCTGATCTTTGTGCTCGTGAGCGGATCTTTGTGCTCGTGAGAGGATCTTTGTGTTCGTGAGCGGAGCTGCTACAGCGACATCAGCAGCAGCCGTATGACGTGATCTGAGCTGCTAGAGCAACATCAGCAGGAGCCATAGCAACTGCATCAACAAGAGCAGCAGCCGCATGAACAAGAGCGGAAGCAGCATCGACAAAAGCAGCAGCAGCAGAGCAGCAGTAGTACGTCGCGTCTACACTACCATCTTTCCCCAAACCCAATGCAATGCAACGCACTACAAACTATTTGTCCCATCCGAATGCAGTCGTGACAAGGGTGCGTTGTGTTCGCCGTTCGGGGGGGGGGACAGTAGTGTTGTTGCTTTCTTACTTTACTCGTAATGACCCCATTCCCTCCTCGACTTCCTCCTCCTCAACCTCCTCCGCCGACGCCTCCTCAACTGCTATGTTTATCGTTGTCACTAAGTCACAGCATCCTTCCCAGATGGCCTTCCAGACTTCCTCAACCTCTTCCTCCTCCTCCTCCTCCTCCTCCTCCACCTCCTCCTCCTCCTCCTCCACCTCCTCGGCCTCTACCGCTTACTACTATGATTCTCCTTGTCACTATGTGACACGCTGATCCTTGCCAGCTGGCCTTCCAGACAGCCACCCTCACCCCTCAGCAATGGTAACTCGCGCCATTGCAGATTGAACTAGAGCGGGGCATAACAGTTATCCCGTCGAGAATGAGCACTTCTTCCTTCCTTTTTCCTCTTTGTTTACGAAGACCAATCATCGTTTCCCTCTTTCTGTTAGTCAATAGCTGTAGAGGAGGAAGAATAGAGAAGTAACATTTCGGAGGTGATAACGCATGAGTTTTTTGCCGGAGGGGGGGGGGGAAGGGGAGGGTGAGGGGAGGGGGACAGACGGATGGAGTTCCTTGTCAAAGTTACAACTCCCTCCCGTGGCTGAGGGGAACACGCACAGGTTCTTTTGAAAAACTTGTGAGCCGCTCTTACAGATCTGAAATTGCAAATTACGCAGGTAACTACAAGTTATTGTTATTATTACTATATTACACTAGTATTATTATGTTATCATTATGTTGTTATTATGTTGTTATTATTATGTTATTATTATGTTATTATTATGTTATAATAACAAAACGGGGGACAGAATGCGGGACTGAGCGGACTTTATCTGCGATATTGACAGTACTCTGATTTGTGTTATTTCTTCTGAGGAAGACAGATATCGAATTTCACATTATTTCAGGTTGATCATTTTTCACATTATTTCAGGTTGATCATTTTCTCGTCTTTTTCCTGACCGCTTGCTTGAGCTCACGCACAGCTTGGGATCGATCCATTTCCTGTTCAACGGAAAAAACACTCCTGAGGGTTACAAACTTATACTGATGGTGACCTCTTACAAAGCCCTTCTTTTCTTCCCCTCCTCTTCCTCTACCCCTCCCCTCGCTTCCCCCCCCTTCCCCCCCTTCTTTTCCCCACCTCCTTTCAACAGATTCGCCCCGGGCCTCCGCCAACTGGACAGAATTTGAGCCCTTCCAACATCCATGCAAGGACTGATACAGACGTACGTACGTACGCACGCACGCGTACTCCCACCGAGTCGCACACCCACGCACCCACACCCACGCCCTCCCTCCCTCATACGCAGCAGACGCATACGCACACATACACGCACGCAGCCACGCAGAATAACAGTAACCTTCCCTTCGCCCCTCGACTCTCGCCTCCCGTGCAACCCTACCTACTACGCCTATGCGCCGCCAAAACTCCCCTTAGGGTTTTGTCGATCTCATTTGCACGGCAGAGCAGTGTCCTGGGCCGACCCATCTTCAAGGGATGATGAATTGGCGGGAGTGGCGTTGTCGTGAACCTGGTTCCCTTTCCGCTCCTGGTACGGAGCCCACCAGCGCCCCAGATACGAGCGCGCCCATGGCGCCATCGGCCGCCTCTCTGGCGGCGGAGTCTTCGGCGGTCGGCATTCCCGAAGCTCGTTCGGCCGATCGATGAGCTCGATGTATGCCATCGTGGCCGCATCCCCTTGTCTGATTCTTGTGGCCAGGACACGTGTATATCCTCCCGCTCTCTCCCTGTACCTATCTGCCAGCTCACTGAAGACTTTATGCAGAACCTCATCAGTGCGCACGACGGCGGCCGCTCTCCTTCGCGCTGCCAGCGTTCCTTCTTTGCCAAGCTGCACTACGTTGTCCGCCACTCTGCGCAGCTCTTTCGCCTTCGGCAGCGTCGTCTCGATCCGCTCGTGCTGGATTAGCTGTGACACCATCGTCCGCAGCATGCTCCATCTATGGCTGCTTGTACGGCCAAGTTTGCGAAAGGCCACTCGGTGGTTCACCATCCTTACGCCACGTGGCCGCACCGGAGGTTTTGTTGATGGTATTCCCTGATAAGCTAATCTAGTCAATCAGCAATAAGCACCAATCACCCGGAGATGGACATTTGAAGCCGGGCAAAAGGCGATTCAAATCTCAAGCTGGGGATGTGTTGTTCCTCCGACGGCTCGCTGACGTGGCCTCCCCACCCGCGTGAAAAAACAGGCTCCCGCCGCTGCCAAGAAATGGGCCTCGTTCCACACCACTTCACTTTCAAGGGCCGCACTTGAGCCTCCTCACAGGGCCTCGCTGCACTACTCTCGACATGCACAAAAGACAGAAGACAGAAATATTGGCGGTGTATCTTTCCATATTCTAGCGGAAGATTTCACTCTCGTTTTGCACATTTCGAGAGTAGTGCAGCGAGACCCTATGTTCTTCTCTCAAATTCTTTTTCGCCTTTCACTACCTTCCTACCACTACTCCTAATACAGAGGGGACCCCTGCAAGCATAGGGCCTCGCAAACGAGGTAATTCATGTTGCCCCCCCGCCCCAACAGCGGTAGTCAGAGATGGGGTGGGGCCGCCGGTGGGGTGGGGGGGGGCTCCGGCTAACGCAAAGACCGAGCATTTTGCCGGTAGCTGCGCCTCCCTTTTGTCATCGTCCCCCACCCCTCATCGAGTAGCAGCAGAGGCTATGGCCAACACTCTCCCACACACCACACACAACCCACTAGCGCTCACACTCACACCCGTGTTGGTCATAGACCCCGCTAATACCGACCAGGGGTATCCAGAGGACTATCACAGTCCGTTGGCACTAAGTGCGCCTCAGGCGACCATGGGGCTTGAACCCACAACCTCCTGAATGGCACTTGCATGCCTAACCAACTCAGCTAGGCCGCTGGATTTCGATCAAGCACTCGAAATAACGCTCCATTTTCGGAAATGGCCAGCTCAAAGGAAATGAGTACGAAATAAAATAAAATAAAATAAAGAAATGGCCAGCTCCGCACCGACTAAGGTTGCATTTGGTTTTCCGGCGAGGTCCCATGGGGAAGACCCTTGGATGAAGCGCCCAAATGTGGATGTGTCTTGTGCAGAGATGCTGGGATGTTGCAGATTTTCTCACAAATTCAGGAGTTCAGTCCAACCCTCTTTGCTACAGTAGTGGGACCTTCCCCCGGCGGTAGTTTGCAGCCCGTCCAATGGGTTTCGTTCGGTTCCAAAGGGGGGGTTAATTTGTTGGGGGGGCAATTCATGGGAACCAGGCAGTTGTTGTAGATGTCGGTAGGAGGCCGAGGAGGCCGCAGTGGGTCCACTTTCTCGTATAGAAGTGCACCTCGAATAGACCTCGTACGCATTTATTCGAATACAACACATAACTTTTCTATTCGAATTTCGAAAAGAAAACTTGTATTCGAATAAAACATTACCTTTTTTTTTTCGAGGTTAGCTCCTGCCCTTGTGCTCTTCGCCACTAACACGCTGCATGTTGCAGCTCTCTCTCTCTCTCTCTCTCTCTCTCTCTCTCTCTCTCTCTCTCTCTCTCTCTCTCTCTCACACACACACACACACACACNCACACACACACACACACACACACACACACACACACACACACACACACACACTCACTCGCACATACACACGTGCACACCTGCACACACACACCTTTCATTTTATTTAATTTTTTCCCAAAAAATTCTGCTTCAACCCACTAGAGAAGGTGATATAAGCATCCCTCATAGTGGACTTACAACAGAATGCTCTTGTCGAATGTTGAAGAGCGACACCTACTCGAAATCAGGTCCCACTCTCGAGCGCATCGGCTCCCACCTTTTTCTACATAGGCGAGAACCCTCTCGGCCATGTCACGCATGAGTGAACAAAACCAAATACAAAACAAGAGACAACTTGGAAAAAATGAGTAAATAATCACACGAACCGCTAAGACGGGTGCGGTCACGTCGTCCTTTTGCCGCTCTAGCCCGGTGCGCCGACCGTATTTATTGCGGTCCCCTACGACAGGATAGGTTCCTGCGGGCCACAATTTGTCTTCCTTAAGGGGTCGTCACCACCCTTAGGGGCGTATCCCTACCGAGTTGTTGACCCACGTAGGAAAGTTTCTATATGCAATCACAAAGGTAGATCAGTCAAGGGTGTTTGCTCGATTCTCGGCAGTATAAACGACGTTTGAACTCATACGTCGTTAGTCCCCTAGGGCACTGATCTCCTAAGTACGAAGCGGACGCTAGTCGACTATGACGGTTTCAACCAAACATGAAACTCATAACTCAATCCAGGTCCCTTAGACATATAACTTGAAAAAAAAAGTTACAATGATAAGATAAAAATACATCAAGATAAAACAACCATAGTCGATAGGAATACACATATGAATCAAACGTGGGTTGAAAAAATTACTAAATACACGAACATCCGATGATAAAGTCAATACCACAAAATAAAAATCAAACACATCGCATCTAATTCAATAAGTACAAAACTGCCAACGAGGAGTTAGTCCCGACAATAACCTCGATAAAGCCGACAAGGTAGTTGGTCTGTCTCAGTTTTGACTTGATGAGATGCGTTGTCAAAGTCATTCATTCCACCCCACTACCGATCTAAAATTAAATACACAAATTTATCTTTATACGTTTTTAAGCTTCTTGGATGACAGATTGTTTTGCGGATGATTCTTGATCAAGTGCATTACTTGAGGCGTAAAATATTTTCACATCTGATTGTTCCGATATGCTCTCGCAATATTTCATCGCACGAGTGAGAATGGTTTTCTATTTTGTTAAACTCATCGTCATTAAAAATCAAAGTAGTAACGAGACTCTCTCGCACAACTCAAACCGTTTGCAAGTCATAAAGGGAGGTCATTCAAGATATCAGTCTGCATACTATGGCAGAAAAAGGTTGTTGCATCGGAAAAATGTACCTCGGCGTGATGTTTCTAACTCAGATGACTCTGTAACATTCACCAGATGGGGTAATCTTAATGCTCACAATGATTTGAGAAAAACATGAAGGTTACTCGTGCGAGGTAAAACAAAGTTTATCCATGAAATTTGTTCGGAAGTGTAGCGGACCCACCAGGTGTGGTGCTCCGCTAGTAACAGAGAAGGAGATGGAGGAGGAAGGGGGAGCAAGATGACACAATGCAGCTCCCCACGCAAGACTCCAACGCACGTACTCCAAAATGTGCAAGTGAGGAATGAGACTAAAAACAGACAATGGTTGGGGTATACCCCAGCGGACTGACGGGACTGGACTGGACTGGCTGGTACCGACAGAGGTACCGGCCTGGACTGGCCTACCCCGAATATAACATAGGCCTGTGAGAACAGGCCAAGGGGCTGGTCTCACACGCCAACCCGAGGTCCGCTACACGATCCTCAGCCTGTGATGGATCGCCTAGATACAAACATGCTTCCACCAAGAAGCGGAACTCTACCAAAGAAAAGAAAACCTGAGTAGTCTAGGATGCGGAGCAAGCTCCATGCCGAGTCCATGCGATGCAACCTAGGATATAAAATGTCACAAAACAACAATGTCACAGCTAACAACCTAAGTGAAAGTAGGAGCAACTAACTAACATAAATGTCCTAGGAAAGCAAAAAGTAGTAACAACTAGATCCTAGAATGTTGGAGGCACTAGCCTCAGTCTGGTAACAACTGACTAGTGTATAAGTCCTAAAACAGCAAAAGCAGAACAACTGAATCCTAGAAATGTCGGAGGCAGTAGCCTGAGTCTGAGAGCAACAAAGCAATCAACAAGACAACCATATGTCACATGAGAAGTGTGTCGCACGCCAAAGGGTGGGATGGTCTCTGAGGGTGGCGAATGCAGCCTAGGGGTCGAAAACTCCTAAGGGCATCCACACATAGTGACAGGGGAAAACACATGTCATCAGGCTCAATGAGGGTAGGGAACTGGGAGCGAACAGAACCAATGACCCTAACAGATAGACCATCAGGGCGGTAATGCTGGACTAAGGGGTGACCGCTATGGAGGGTCGACCATGCAAGGGAACAAGGGAGCCTGGTATACTGGGCGCGCCTAGATGAAGCATGCGGGGCTGCCTAACTAGGGCGTGAGGGTCGGCGAAGGGTAGAAAGATGATGGGTAAGGGAATCATGCAAATGACTCCTAAAGTGAGGGAAGTCGGAGCTAGATCCGTAAGATGGAAAGCCAGGGCAACGCTACGGTCCCGATGCCTATGCGTATACCAAGGGAGAGCCCAACTCAGAGGAACCTGGCTAAAGGGAGACCATCATGCGACACAAGCAGGGTACTGTACAGGGTAGAGTAGTAAGAGAGTGACGACGTCTGAAGTAGGCAGAGCTGATCGTGATGAAGTCCATGAAGCTGCCGATGACGTCCATGATGAGAAGTCCGGAATGTCGTCGAGGAAGAGCCGCAACGTCGACGAGCTGAAGAAGCAAAACTGATGTGGATGGAGTACTGAGAAGTCAAAGATGTGGGAAGGTAAGTCAGAGTCAATCGTCGTATCGAGCAGGACGACGACGAGTGCGCTGTGGACGCTCAGAAGCATCCGGCTGTTRCTGAAGGTCTGCCTCAGATGGAGCAGGCTCAACTTCAGCGGTCTCCTCAGCCGGAGGAGAAGGAGGAGGGTCAGTGGGCTGAGGAGGAGCAGTGAACCCAGCACGAGGAGCACGGTCATAGGCACGCACCAACATGCGAGCGTGCTCCAAGTGTTCGAGGGGCTCCCAGGTAGCCTCCTCATCAGGGTAACCCTTCCAACGTACGAGATACTCGACGTGGGGAGGGTTGTCGTCGGTGACTCGGCGACCAATGATGTCTGAAACGAGGAACTCCTCGTGGCCGTCCACCATGATGGTTGGAGGGCGCTCGTATGGTCGTCCAGTGAAACGCTCGGACGGTCTGCGGTAAGGACGCGGTAACGAGACGTGGTAGACATCATGCACACGAGCCTGGCGGAGGTAGTCGAGCAGCTGCACACGAAAGCTGACCGGGCTAGATGCCGTATCAGAACTGACGGCCTGGAGGATGCGGCATGGGCCAAAAAAGTGACGCCGAAACTTGCGAAGCATGTCCGCTTCAAGCTGTAAGTGG